TGTGCTGTGGTTCCAAGCCAAACTGGCCTGTTCAATGTTTGAGGAAATAAGTTCCCCACATAGGGTTGCCAGGTCTGACTCAGGAAATATATAGGGACTTCTGGGGTGGAGCCAGGAGACTTTGGGGTGGAGGCAGGAGCAAGGATGTGATCACTTTTGTGATGTCACTTCCTGTGATGTCACTTCCCAAATCCCACCCCTTCTGATGATGTCACTTCTAGCACTCTGCATCAAAACCCCACCTCTTCCTGTCACAACAAAACAATTCCTGTACCTTTCTCTCAGGGAATAACAACAACAAACTTTCAAAGTCATGCATGACCATAAGAGAATGGAAAGCCTACACTGGCCACAATGTTCAGTCACATTACAAATGCCTCTCCTCTGCCTTTTCTGTTTGGACAATGATCAGGCATCAATATAATCAATATAAATAGCATGAGAGAGGGTGCATATGTGAAAATGCCCTGAGTCTTTATAGGCAAGAAAAAATTGCAGTTGATTGGACTTCTGGCAGCATCATAAGCCTGGATGGTGAAACAGATGTGACAACACAGAGGGGGGAGAAATATGATACGTGAAGATCCTGTCAGAGCACACAGACAGTGGTGAACAGCTTCCCAACTGAAATGGGTAAAGATGTGAGGTTACTTTAAAAACAAACTAAGGTCTGTGGATCTTTAATTGTATAGATCAGTGGTGGCGAACCTATGGCACGGGTGCCAGAGGTGGCACTCAGAGCCCTCTCTGTGGGAACGCGTGCCATCGCCCCAGCCAGGCCCAGACCATCATTAAAGTGTTGAATTCTCTGCCAAATAATTTTAAGTAAATGAAAGCATTTGGGATTGCTTTTCTTACTTTGTTTGGATCATCTTAAGTTAATGTATGGGTTGTTTTTTCTCAGTATTCAGGTTAAATTGCCGTGTTGGCACTTTGCGATAAATAAGTGGGTTTTGGGTCGCAGTTTGGGCACTCGGTCTCTAAAAGGTTTGCCATCACTGCTATAGATCATATTAACAAAAATAAGAGAAACTGAGTACCTGATTCTAGCATATTAAGAATTCAGAAGAAAAAAGTTTATGCAGCAATAAATCAGCACAGAAATAAATGCTGCAAGTCACTTTTATGAAGCATGTAAATCTGATGCAAAAAACAACAAGTTTAAAACGTTGAACAACATGGCTTGCGAGTTGATACAACAATAATGGAGAACCTATGTATTGTTTTGTTCCAATTTGTGTCAGACGATATGAGATGGACAGGACCTTAAATACATCAAAAACCATTGTATGGACATGTATACCAGACAAGTATAGTAACTAATTTTCAAGCTAAGGTACACATCTGTACGTACAGGATGCTTCCTTTAAAAGCAGCCTGCCTACATCCCACCCACCCCCAGCCCTGACAGCTTCAAAGCGAAGCACAGCATGGTCATATCCCCCACCCCCAGACACCTACTTGCAAGCCATATTTACACCCGAGAAGGCAGGAGGAAGAGGGGGACTGTCTTAAGGGGGGAGGGGGTGCAAGGAGCCAAGGACTGCTGGGAGAGTGGCGAGAAAAAGGGGCCCGGCAGAGCCTCTGGCAACTGGTGTAGTGTCACTCTCTGCCAAAGAGGAAAAAGCAGCCAAGCGTCGCAGATGAGGAGCAAAGCTCTCCACAGGGCTTCCTTCACTGGTGGCACCTCCTCTCCCCAGCTGGGGAGCTGCCTTGGTTTTCACCACGGAAAGGGAAGACTGGGTGGGCGGAAGTAGAAATGGTGACTGCATGCTTATGTGGGAAGAAACACTTGCCTGCCCTGCCCCGACTCGGTATTTTTAGCCCACACCAGCTGGCCAGCCTCCTCCTCCCCCCCAGGCACGGATGGGCAAAAAACCCCACCACCACCCCACCCGCGCCAGTCAGCCGGCCAACTTCCTCCTTCCGCCTGGGTGGGGACAGGCAAAAAACCACCACCACCTTACCCGCTGGCCACTTGGGACTTGGAAGCCCGGCCAGCTCACCCCAACTAGGGAACCTTACCTTACCTTCCCCAAGGCAAGGGGCCTGGTGCTCAATCCCCTGACTATCTCGACTCTGCTCTGGAGTGTGGTGGCTGCTGCTTGGCCTAAGGAGTCCTCACCTTGGGTTGACTCAAGAGGGAGTGGACAGTGAGGTACGTGTGTGACAGCAAGCTGACCACCCAGCACCCACTCCTCAGAGCCAGTGCCTGCAGGAGACCTATGCACTGGGGCAGGGGGAAATCAGTGCCACTGCCACCACTACAACCTTGGGCAAAGAAACACGTGGCTCCGGAGGCCTCCAACTGTGACACTCTAGCCATCATCTCTATGACTTCCATAGAGACTGTGCTAGAGAGTCACAATGTGGCCACCATTTTGTCCTCTGCTGCCTGATTCTTACACAGCGGGGGTGGGGATCTAAAAGCGGGGGAACCCCCACCAGCACCTGGGGGCTGGCAACCCTATCCCTACAGCTGCTGTCTGGTTGTGGGGAATGCATTTCAGGGATAGAGAAATCTGACCTGACTCACAGACGAATGTCTCATGTAGTTTAGGCCTGAGACACATGAACAAAAGAAAGCTAGGAAGGTCCAGCTTAAGGACTCCATTTTGAGTCCTGGTTTTGGTGATTAATAAAGTTTCCGTTACAGTCCAAGGCTTTGATGGTGGCTTTGAGTTGTTGGGGTGCTGTTATTACTAGTTTGGTATTTTGTTCATTTTTGAAATTTGATGGTTACATAGCTTCTCCTTGAATAACATATTCACATAGCAATAATATGAACCAAAGAGCCTAAGGAAGGGAAAGGGATGACAAAGAACAGGAAGGAGAGATTGAATGAGGCAGAAAGTATTGAAGTGGATGAGAAAGGTATAGGGGTCGGGGACCTATCGGAATGGGAGTAAGGAAAAAGAGGAGGCAAGATATATTGGGCTGGGTGAGGAGGAAGAAAGAAGAAAGGATGGGTGGGTTAAAGTTAAGTTACTTCTAAAGAAATTGGCATGTCTCTTTCCAGTTCTTTTCCAATCATGAATGATCAATATGCCTCAGCTGCTTCAGTCCATCCTCAAATTGGTATATACTGGATGTTCTATAAAGGTAGCACTTATGGGGCAATGTTAGTCTTCATTTTGATGGCTTTCAAGAACTGCATGCTTCTAATTAGGCAGTCTGTCCGTCTTCTCCACTTCTGTGTTATTGCTGGAGGTAAAGTCCCCCCCCCCCATTTTTGCAAAATTTCTCTTTTGTGTCACACGAGCTGATCTCAAGATCTTTTTGGTGGCCTTTTGGTCAGTGCCCAGTTTCTAAGCACAGGGTGGTATAAAGTGTGGTCTCTAACTTCTGCTTCCTGGCAGTAATCCTTGGGAATATCATCACCACAAACAGCAACAAAACTGGTAATTTGTTCAGTATCAAAACAGGTCAACCTTTTCCCTTAATTGAATTAATTAAATTAACTCTTAGGTGTGACACGAAAGAGAAATTTTGCAAAAACTCTTAGGAAGCTCCTCAAGTCATCACTCTGCAAATAGGTGAAACTGATTTCAGGTGACAGGATATGATTCTTTTTGGTGGCCATGTGCAGGCAAAACTGACATAAGAATTGAACTTTTTGCAAAAATAAACAGGATGGAGCTGATGCAGTCATTTTCTTGCCTAAATAAACTGGATGGAGCTGATGCAGTCATTTTCTTAACCACAGACTGGAGCTTGGGGGCAGGTCATGGAATCTTCTGTTCCTCCACCCAGCCTATCATCTTGGGCACTAATTTCCCCCTACGATAAGACTTCAACTGGCATTGATGTTAACCACAGTTAAGGCTTTTCTGCCATTTAAATTAGAGCCTTTGTATATTTTATGTGTATTGGTCACGGCTTTCTGCCTCTCCATGATGAAAACGATATTGTGTAACTACCGACAACCTACTTTGGGTTCCTTTTGGCTGCTTGTGCAATACTATTTCCAGCCTCATACAACTATATTTTTATCCTGATCTTCCTCCAGAGAGCTCAAGGTGGCATACTAAGGTTCTTCACACACCCTTTTTTCACAACAATCCTGTAAGGGAAGTTAAGGTCGATCAGAGAGCTTCATGACTACATCTAGATTGATCTGAGCCCAGGCTCTTTTTCAGTACTCAAGCCTTGTGATGCTAAGCACCTTAATTCCCTTACAAGGGTTAGTGTGAATATTCTAAGGCCTAGCTGAGTTCACAGGTGTCTGTTATTTCAGTGCTCTTGGTACCACCAGCATTATCTCCTTCAAGGCCTGACAATGGGATGTGATAACTGGGTACATCATGGGAACCTGTGCTTAATTGTATAACATGATGGGAGGGGACATTAGAAGAAGAAGCTTGCATCTTCTGGAAGGTTCCTCAGAAGAAGATCTTTGGTTGGATGAGAGAGACCACCTGACTCTATGGGGCAAAGAGTTATAATTGGAGCTATAGGTTAGTGAGGGTTATGCTGTGTTAGGCTCATGCTATGCTTCGTTATGACTGGCTGCAGTGGATAGAATGCTTTCATGCTGTAAGAGACTTGCCATCTGTAACCCGGGATGGCTCCAGAGCAAGCTAATTTATGCAGTAGCCAAATCTCTCACTCACAAGACTCCACAGCTTAGAGGGAGCATTGGTAGGGATCCTCCTTGTTGAGCCTGAGGACACTTTTGGAATTTTCACCACAAAAGGGTTGCTATGGAGGCTGGGGTCAACCATAAAACTTTGGGAGGTTCCAAGCCAGGAGTCCTCCTATGATAAAGGTTTCTGAATGAGTATTTCCTGTACATGCAAAGCTAATGCCTCCTGGGCTCTTCTGAAACACCTCCTGCTTCACTGAGTCGGAGGAAAGTCAGGACTGGCTTTTTGCTTTTGGGAGCAGATGGTTTGGAGAGGGAGGAAGTGGGTACCAAGAAACACGTTGATAGGCATGATGGCACCCTTGGGGAGCACATTAGGAATCACTGACCAATTGAGACTTCTTTTCTTTTACAGAGTGTGGATATTGAAAAGATACAAGGGTCCACCGTTAACATTTCTACCAAGGATGGATCATTAAAAACCAAATATCTTTATGCAGAGTCTTCATTTCTGTCTTCAGCAGCTGGTGATATTATCATGGGGAATGTTCATGGTAAGATAGCACAAAGAGTTTCAGTCTGCTATTAGAACTACATCTATTTAGCTAATGCCTTTTTAAGGAAAAGTATTCTTTTGTGTGCTCAGCAGAGTACCCGCCTGTGTTTATAACACCGAACATATTACAACAGTCTTTTTATATCCATGGAAAAATTCAAGTCAGATTAGGTTATTTTAAGGAGGATCCTATTTATTAATAAAGTTGACTTTTCTAAGGTCAGGGTTTCTTCCTTATGCCCTGAAATGGGCTAGAAGCGTGGTGCTAATCAGTGGGGTAACTATGTGAGGTGTAACGTCTGAACTGGCCCTCAGATAACTGCACAGGACAGGTGAGGTATGAATGCTGGGCCAGCAAAGAGTTTTGAATAAAAAAATAAAAAACCAGTCCAGGTAGAATCATAGTATGTATAGGTTGGCTGAACCACTTGACCGTCTGTTGGACATAGCTAATTCGATTGCTTCAGGTAGCCATCTTCTTCCGCTAGCAAGGCTGCTTTCTGGGTGCCAAGCTGAAGACCTGTGAATGCTTTTTTTTTCTGGGTGAAAATGAGGAATTGATTGCTCCCACTTTAACCCTCCTGCCAAGTCTGCAACGGGGGTGTGCGTGCATATGAGGGCAATGCTCCTAAGAAATACATCACACTTCCAGCTGCCTTAAAAATACCGAGTTATGGGTAGGAAACAGCTAATGTTGGAGAGACCAAGACGGTACTATAGACAGAAATCATCAGTTGGTGGATCCAATTGCTAGGAAAAAAATCTTTTTATTTGTGTGCGGCTGCAAAGGACCAGTTCATAGGTTACCACAGTGATGTATCAATTCCTTGTTTCAGTCTATGTATTGCATGTAGTATGTTCTGTGTTTTACTTGGAAACCACCTTGGGCAATCTGATGAGAGGATCATGGCACAGAAATATACTGAAGAAATAAATAGGAATTGACATGGTTCTTTCCCATGCTGGCATAGGCCCTCTAGGGGGCTGGGCACTGCTGGTGTGGGTAGGAACTATGTCATATGTATGCAGCGCATCTAAATCATGCTAGAAATCTCTGGGGTTAAAAATTCTTGGTATAACTGGCATTGGGATACTATTTTTGTTGGAAAATTTTCTTTGGTGGTTGGGCTGGCACTTCAAATCCACTGCTAATTTTTCTGCCAGTCTTGGTCAAGTATCCTGTGTGTTTTGGTCCAGTGGGTTTCATCTCATCTTGGCAAGAGGACTAATGTGAGTATCCTGTATGTTAGCTCTGCTGGTGGTTGGAATGTGGGAGTACAATCCCATGGTTCCTAATTCTCCAACCACTTGGTGTACAGATTTTTCCACGCGCTTGAGGGATTCGATCATGGTAATTTAGAACAGAAATTTGTACCAGCCACAGAAAATACCTATCTGGAAAAAATGCCCAGAAATTTAGCATTATGGCACGAGAACAATGAGCTGTTGTTTCCCACCAACTTTGTAAGTTCTTCCCTCTTCTCCCACCACCATCCATGTCCTTGTATAAAATCTCTCTTTGTTCTTTTATAGTGAAGTATAGGTTGACTTAAACTCCTGGCGGTCATCCCAGCCATTAGACTAGAGCCAGGCAGACTGGGCATGCATAGGCTTACATAAATAAGCACAGTTTTATTTATTTATTTTTAAATGGAAGGATAAATTCAGGTGGGGTAGCTGTGTTGGTCTTAAGCAGCAGAACAAAGTTTGAGTCCACTGGCACCTTTAAGACGAACAAAGTTTTATTCACAGTATAAGCGTTCGTGTGCAAGCACACTTCCTCAGATGGAAGGATAAGTGTTGTACATCTGTGTACATCAAAGCAGATTTGAAATGTTAGTCCAAAGTTTTGAACTGATAGCTTCCTAATACTGAAAACCTCACACACACATACAGGCATTTCTAAAGACCTATTCTGGATATTTCAAATGAAGCATAAAACTTATAAACGCCATGTGTGAACCATTTTCACCTCCCGCTTGTATAAACTTTGTATTTTTCTGTCAGGGGACAGGATAAGCTTGTATCCAGTTTAAACAAGACAATTTGAACCTGACTTTGTGCTTATTTTTAGAAAGCTGTTAATGAAACATTGTGGCAGGAGGGTGCCTTGAGTAGTAGAATATAATTTTTACTTTACTTGCGCCATTAAAGGTAAAGGTAAAGGTTCCCTTGCTCGAAAGCCAGTCGAATCCGACTCTAGGGTTGCGGTGCTCATCTCCGTTTCAAAGCCGAAGAGCCAGCGCTGTCCGAAGACGTTTCTGTGGTCATGTGGCCAGCATGACTAAACACCAAGGTGCACGGAACGCTGTTACCTTCCCACCGAAGTGGTCCCTATTTATCTACTTGCAATTTCTTGCTTTCGAACTGCTAGGTTGGCAGGAGCTGGAACTAGAGACAGGAGCTCACCCTGTCTTGCGGCACCCGGGTCTTGAACCGCTGAACTACTGACCTTCCACAGCCTGCAGTTCAGCGTCTTAACCACTTGAGCCTTGGCCTTATTTTTTTAATCTCTTAGTGACTAGTGAGTCCCTTTTATTTCCAACTTGCTCCTGGTCTTCAGTGGCCCTCCAGGACCTGTGTCCCTCCCTTCCCTCTGGTGCCCAAGCTGCTACAAGAATGTAATTCTTCTGTGCTCTTCTCATCTCCCCTTCCAGCCCTTATTCTTCTGTTCAGTCAAGGGATATAAAAGCGTAGGGTTGCCAAGTCTTACCTTGGCTTTAGCAGGGGGAGTCCAGGACCTTGCCGGGAGTCTTCCTGTGTGCACGCTTTGCGCACCCCCCGCAATGATGCCACCCGGAAGTGACATTATCACGTCGGGCATGTTGGGGGCGGGCCCACAATCATTCGAGGGAAAACCATAGAGTTTTCCCTCAAATGATAGGCATCCCCCCTCAACGTGCCCGACACAGTGATGTCACCTCCGGGTGGTGTCATGGCACTTTGGGGGCGGGGTTCCCCCCAGTGGCCCAATCCAGGTTGGCGGGGAACAGGCCTCTCGAGTGGGGTTTCCCCGCCCCCCGGGGGGACTTGGCAACCCCTATAAAAGCACTTGAATTCCTTAGCTGAAGATAGGGGCAGTGGGCAGGGCAGGGAAATGAGAAGCATGCACAGACTTCTCATTCCTTATTGTGGCCTGTCACAAATCTTCTTGAGCCTTACAGGTACCTTAGGAATTTTGAGATGGGGCATTGAGTGCCATCCCAAACCCCAGAATACCTGCCACAAGAGGTACAGCTAAACACAGTTCCTCCCTTCTTGCTTTGCAGAAGAATCTCAAATGGGAAATAAGAAGAAATGAAGGAACGCCCAGTGGGAAGAAGGGAGAAAATAAAAAGGAAAATCTGAAGGGGGAATGGAACCACAACCCCAGAGTACCTACCACTTCGACAGCTCCTGCAGAGGCTGCTTCTGCTATTGCAAGTAGGGTTGCCAGCCTCCAGGTGGGGCTGGGAGATCTCCCACTTTTATGACTGATCTCCAGCTGACAGAGATCAGTTCCCCTGGAGAAAATGGCTCCTTTGAAGGGGTGGACTCTATGGCATTGTACCATGCTGAGGCCTCCCAAAGTCTCCAGGTGTTTTTCAACCCAGACCTGGCCAACCCTATATTGCAGTCATAGAAAACCCTGTCAATTGAATGAAGACAGCCAGGATCAAGCTCTGCCTTACGATGGCCATTCATACTTTTTTAAAAGCTTGGTGCCCACAGGCGCCACATTGGAAAACCCTGATCTACACTATATCTATAGATACTGTGTATGTTTATCTACAGTTGAAGCATGAGGTTGAGGTTCCAATTACGGCCTGTAAGAGCAGAAAATGAGGGAAGATTACATTGTATCATCTATACTATGTTACGATTAGCCATACTCAGTGTTTGCCAGGCCTCAGCAATTGCACTGTTGTAGAACAAATGAATACTTGGCTAGAAGTAGGCTTTCCCTCCTTTCCCCAGAGACCATCATTTGAATGGTTGGTTAGCATCAAAATTATAGGCTTCATTGAGCATTGGCATTGATGGAAAATTATTTTACCAGACAATTCTGGGAGAAGATCATCTTTCAAAGAAGGCTGTTGAACTTGCTTCAGCTAACTTGATTTGGGTGGAACTTTATTGATCTTAAAATGTTTATCATTCCTTAAGGATATCTTTAGAAAACTGTAAACCAAATAAGGGACTGAGCCTCCTTAGAGAAGACTGGAAAGTGTTTGTTTGAAATGTGGTTTGGTTTGCTTCTGCAGAAAAAGCAATGGACAGGATATATGCCACTGTGGAGGGCTGTCTGGAAATAATCCTTCTTCAGGATACAGGGCTTTCCTGTATGGATTTTTTTGTTAGGTCTGGCCCCATACTGCTTTGGTTTATCCCTTCATTTCTGCACACATTGTTGTGCCTTTCGTTTTCACTTTATGTGTGTATGTGTGTGGGGGGGTTGTTTGTTTTATTTTGTTCCCCCCCCTCCATTTCTTTTGAGAGCATTTTTACCCCAATCTTTTTCTGGGAGTTGGTTTTGACTTGCCTTTTTCCTTGTGCATAATGTTTCTGTTGTTTTCTTTGTCCCACACACTCCCACACACCTCCAACCCTCTTTTTGATTATTGAACTGTCATCATTGCCAAATCACTCCCTCTCCTTGCCCCCTTAAGACAAATGTTTTGATTTTTGATTTTTTTTAAAAAAAGTACTAGAATATCAATATATCAATATGCTGCTAGAATAATAGGTCAGGCAGGTTCTCTGAATTCCCAGCTTTTTTTAAAAAAAGTAAGTCTCTAATCTTTTCCCTCACAGAAATATAAGGGGAAAGGCATATCTCCAAGAGGGATATCTCCATGAAGGAGGAGGATAGAGACTTACATTTAAAAAAAAAAAAAAAGAAGAACGCTGGGGATTCAGAGAATCTATTTGATCTATCATTACAGCTGTATATTGTTATATTGATATTTTAGTACTGTTTTTCTTAAATGCAGCCGTGATAATGATATAACCATGCACAAAAAGTAAAGGTTTGTGTGTGCTGTGATGCCACTGACGATAATAGCATCCTCTGTTGAAAATCCTGATTAAAGACACATGCATAAGAAAGCAGACTGACACTACAACTCTGACAATGCAGAGAGCAGGCAGACATGCAGAAGAACCATGCCCAAATTGATTCCAATGTTTGTGGATCAGCTGCCAAGAAAATCAGGAGTCAGTTGAGTTGTGGAAAAGCCTGCAGTCTGAATCTGAGCCTGCCAGAAGGTTCAGAGTTGCAGTTGAATTAAGGATCTGTAACCAATTCGATTAGGCTGCAGTGGCTCAGAGGTTAAGACACTGAGCTGCAGACTGGAAGGTCTGTAGTTCAACAGTTCGAGACCCTGGTGCTGCATGACGGAGTGAGCTCCTGTCTCTGGTTCTAGCTCCTGCCAACTTAGCAGTTCAAAAGCAAGAAATTGCAAGTAGATCAATAGGTGCCACTTCGGTGGGAAGGTAACAGTGTTCTGTGTGCCTTGTCGTTTAGTCATGCCGGCCATATGACCACAGAAACGTCTTTCGACAGTGCTGGCTCTTTAGCTTGGAAACAGAGATGAGCACCACCCCCTAGAGTCGGATTCGACTGGCTTTCAAACAAGGGAAACCTTTAACCAATTCAAATGGTACAGTCTGTTGATAGCCATTTTACAAAGTTTATCATGTCATGTCAATGGCTCAACAGCAGTGTTCCCTCTAAGCTGAATTAGTGTGAGCTGGGTAACAGTTTTTTAGCCTCCAGCTCATTGTTGTCTTAGCTCAGGAAGGATGGCTTCAGACCAAAGTTATTTATGGCACAGCCAAATCGCTTGCTCACAACTTTAATGTCAATAGCTCACAGAGTAGAATTTTTGCTCACAGCTTAGAGGGAGCATTGCTCAACAGTACACTGTTGTGCTTAAACTATAAAGTCTAATTGGCAAAAACACTCTATCTACACTATCTGTCCAAACTTTGAATGTGTAAGGAAAACAAACACTTATCTATTTCCAGAGTTTCCAGAGACGCTTCATTATAAAACCCAAAGTTTTCTGTCTCTGCTGACTTGTAGTTCTGCAGCTGGGGCAAAGTTGCCAGAGAGTAGCAATGGAAGTTACAGCATCCTTTCCCCCTCCCAATGGAATAATCCATCACCCATCGGGGGCTCTTCTGGGGATTCAGAAGGTGATGATTGACTGTCCATCTGGTGAGTCAACAGTACTGTCACCCTCTAAAGATGAAAGAGTGGATCCATCCATGCAGGGAAGATGTGGAATGCAAGTGAAATAGAACATGGGAGTCCTGCAATAGGCCAGTAGAGGTAGAAGTGAAGAAAGGGACCCATAACTTCACAACAGCATCATAGGAGCATCCAGAGCCCTCGCAAGCACAGCATTTGAACTGCTGGCTATATAGTTGCCAACTCTAGATTGGGAAATTCCTGGAGTCTTGGGGGCAGAGCTTGGGGAGGATGACATTTGGGAAGGAGAGGGAACTCAGCAGGGATGTGATGCCATAGAGACCACCCTCCAAAGCTGCCATTTTCTCCAAGGGAACCAGCCTCTGTAGATCAGTTGTAATTCTAGGAGAATTCCAGGACCCACTTGGAGGTTTGCAGCCCTAGCTGGCTACAGCAGATGCAGTTCTGGTTAGTTCCCCCCTCCCCACCCCATCCATGCTCATGCACAAGAAATCTCAGCATGCATACGTCCTGGATGTAGACAGGACATGTTTGGTGAGTGAGAAATCTGTTTCTTTCTTCCCCCCCCAAAAAAAACTTTTATTTTGGATATAACAACATATTCAAACTTACATCTTTTCTTTCAACATATATCCATTTCCCATATCTCCTCCCCCCCCTTCTCGTGGCTTCCCGCAATGTTTCCACCCCTTTTCCCCTTTTACTATTCAACTCTCAATTCGGAGTGAGAAATCTGTTTCTGTTCTGTTCCCCAAGAGCCAGTTATCCCCCACAGCAGATCAGCAACACTTGTTACATTCAAGCAGAACAAGAATTTGCCCTGGTCAGCCCCACAAGTCACCTCTGCTGGGCCCTCCAGCTGTATTTCTTGCTGAGCTGCCTCGCATTTTTATTATACTTTTTTTAATGTAATATTTTATTGTTAGCTTCTTTATGGATCTGTTGGGCTTTGAAACTGGGCTCCAGATATCATCACTAAAATACATAAATACCGTAGCTCAGCTCCTGCTAAGGCATGATTCCAGACAGAAATTTCAGATGACCGATATAAATACCAAACAATGGCATTTCCCACTTCTGCTTCCTTTCATTGTCTGCTGTTGTAAAGTATAAAACCTTGGGGCTTTATGATTCATCGTTGTCTCACCAGAAACCCGATGCTATGTACAGTTCAGCCTTTGTTTGGAGTCAGTTTGCATTGTGCAGAACTAATAGGCATAATCCCCGCCCGAGTGCTGAAACTGGCCTCAGGAGCACAGTTGGGACTTGGTGTGTCTGGGCTGTAGAATTGCTTTTCTTGTTCATAACCCCGGTCCAGATTTGCTGTTTTACTTCACTGTGCATCTTCTGTGATGTACAGAGCTGTAGGAGAAGGCCATTGTGCTTTAGAAACATATATACTGAAAGCGACAAACAACAGAGAGGTAGAACAATCTATTACCAAGTGAGGATCCGATGATCAGTGGCAGAACTGTCATGACTCTGATGAAGTGAAGCCCAAGAGCCAAATGACACATTATGTTTTTTGGTGAGTTCGGTTGGGATTCCCCAGATCCAACTCATTTTTCCTGCAATCACACAGCAGCTGCAGGGAAAGACATTTTTTAAAGTCCTCAGGAGGAGCCCAATTCCTCTCAGAACTGCAGTGGGGGGGGGGGGAGAGAAGGAGGTCCTGCCTTTTCCTCTATGGTGTTTTCCCTAAACCCAAATGGTCCCAGCCAGGAATTATTTGCATTACTTTGGAGCTGAACATGCAGTATTCTGAGCACCGTGCTTTTCCAAATTTATGCAAATAACCAAGAGCCCTTCTGCACATACATCAAAGTTCTGTTCAAAATTGAACTTCTGGTGACTTAAAAATGCCTTTCCCCACAGCTGCTGTATGGCTGCAGGGAAAGTGAGTTGGGTCCAGGGAAACCCAGCCCAACTCATCAGAAAATTTAAGTTAGTTTGGCCCTAACTCATGAAGAGCTTGTGATGAAATAAGATTTAGCTAGTTCTTAAGGGGCCAAAACATTTCTGTTTGTTTGTCTTCAGATAAGTTGTTATTAAAAAGGTATTCCGTAGAATAAGATTAATGAAAAGACCAAAACCTGGGAGAAAATATTGCTGTCACCCAACATATTCAGGCTGGAAAATTACATTCCATCAGAAGTGAAAAGATGCATTTTTGTAACTTCTGTACAGTCCATGGCTGTGATGCAGGCTGGTTGGGATCATCCACATATTACAGATGTTAAGCCAGGTGGAGGGACAAACTAATATAATGAGCGCTTTCGACTTAACACTGAATTATTTCTTTTGACCAAACAAAAATTAAAGTAATACAGGGATTAGGTCCTACTTACTGAATGCTTTTGGCGTTTTTTATGTATGTATGTCCTTGAAACTTTTTTATAGTTTGATTTCTGTGGGTTTTTTCTAAAACATAGTTAAGGAATATTAACCCATAGATGCAAGTAATTTCTGCTTGGTATATGTGCCAGTGCATGGCATATAAGAACCCCTGTGGCTTCTAAGCGAGTTGCTAGCTAAGATCAGGACCATCCAGTATCCTGCTAATTCACCACAATGCACTAGGCTAAATCACATTATCATCATACTCTGGTGAAGATTCCTGTTTTTCTTTCCTTGCAGGTACTACTACCCTTCAGACTAAAACAGGAAACATCACAGTAGGTGAGTTAAGATATTTTGTTTTTTTAAACCCAGAAAACACAGCCGCTGTCAATGCTCCCTCTAAGCTGTGGAGTCCTGTGAGCAAAAATTCCACTTCATGAGCTACTGGCATTAGAATTGTGAGCAAGTTATTTGGCTGTTGCATAAATTAGATCACTCTGGAGCCATCCTTCCTGAGCTAAGACAAAGACATGTGAGCCAGAGGCTAAAAAACTGTGAGCCAGCTCACACTAACTCATCTTAGAGGGAACACTGGCTGCTGTACTTGTTACCACTGATGGTGCCATACAGATTCTTTAGCAAAGAAAAACAGAAAACAACTGTGAGCTGAATTTCCCACAAAAATATATATAGAAGAAGAAGAAGGGGAGAGATTGGATTTGTACCCCAACTTTCACTACCCAAGGGAGTCTCAGAGCGGCTTACAAACTCCTTTTCCCTTCCCATCCCCACAACACACACCCTGTGAGGTGGGTGGGGCTGAGAGAGCTCTGACAGAAACTGCTCTTTTTCAAGGACAGCTCTTATCAGAACTACGGCTTGCCCAAGGTCACCCAGCAGGTGCAAGTGGAGGAGTGGGGAATCAAACCTGGTTCTCCCAGATTAGAGTCCGAGCACTTAACCACTACACCAAACTGGCTATACAAAAGGAGACTTCAACAAAGTGAAATGCATATATAGATTGAAATGAATCTATTCACATAATCCCTCATAGGAAAATACAGAAGCCAACAAGATCCATAATAGGAGAATACAGAGTCCAAAGTATAAATATTCACAATAAATATCCAACACTTTTCCTAGGTAATTTTCAGTGTTTCAGACTTCTGGTCCTTCCTCAGGAACAAAGAACTGTGGAAGTACAAAATGTAATATTTTTTTAACAATATTACTTTTTTCACAATATTTCAAAAAGATTGATCCCAATAATACAAAGGAGTCCTATTAAATTAATAACATCATTATACTATTATCACTGTTGCATAGAGTCTCATTAAATCTTACCAACTATTGGGAGTCTCATTCCATTTCCTTATAGGATAATGCTATTCTGTTTCTCTGTAAAAGAGAATTCCTCAGAATTTAAAAAAATTAAAAATTTAAGAATATTTTAAGAAACAGCACAAGGCAGGGTGGGTGTAGGAGGAAAGGAGGCAGGCTGACAAAGACAGATCACCCCCAAAAAGAAGTGGGTGGCGGAGGTGGGGTTCTAATGGAGAACTAGGCAGTAAAGTGTCACCCCAGTTACTCTGGAACAGATCATCCAAGGCATTGGGTGCAGAGAGGTAGGCTGACAAACACAGATCGCCCCCAAAGGAGAAGCAGGCTAGTAAGGGGGGTTTCAAATGCAGAGCAGTGAGAAGTCAAGTTGGCGGGCAGTAAAGACGAACACAGATCACCCCAAAACAAAAAGCCGTCCACGGTGTGTGCGGGGGATAAAATGGCAGAGAGCGAAGTTGAAACCCCCCCAAAAACCAAAGAGCAATCCCTTGTTTTACTGCAAGCCAAAGTGGTGGTGGGAGGTTGAAATAAAATGAAAAGAAAAAGGAAGGGAAACCACTAAGGAGGTCTTCCCGTGGATGGCAACGCGCTTGCAGACGCATCTCACTGGGAATGAGGTCTGCCTCCGGCTGAAGGAGGGGGTACGCAGGCTTGTAAACCCCTCCAGGGACCCGGTGGAGGGGCCCTGGCCAGGGAGCTTTGAAGGGGTAGCCTCTTCGATGGCGGAATGCCAGAGAATTGAGGTGCCCCTTCGCTCCGGTGGTCCTTTGAGCCGAGAGACCGAATGGTACTAGCAACGCTTACCGGAATCAAGCGCAGGAGATCAAGCAAAAAAAAATGCTGCAGAAAAAGGGGTCATATGACCAACTATGAACGTGAGTCAACTTAAAGGCGATTTTTAAAAAGAAAAGACGCTCCCTACCCTATCTCACTGAGCAGAGAAAACGAGCAGGGAGGAAATTCCTCATGCACATAAATCATTGAGCGGAGGGGGGGAGTGGACCAAAACACGTAGAAAAGTGCCTGGAAACACTCACCAGAGCGATAGTAAATTATCAAGCGCAAATTCAGAGACTCTTGAACTTTCTTGTGAGTGTAAACAATTATAAAAGATGGCGGGGAAGAAGGACAAGCCTCTGAAAGTAAAAGCTGGGGAGAGCCCGAAACTGGAAGTGACGAATGAGACAGCGAAGGCAGTAGCAGACTATTTGCGTCCGCTTCTGGAGCAGCTGAACGTCTTCAAGGAGCAGATGATGGTGACACAGGGAATAACAACACAACAAACACAGATAAATGAGCTGATACAAATGATGAAGCAAGACAGTGAAAAAGTTAAGAAAGTGGCTGAAGATACACAGAAAGTGAAGAAAAAAGTCAAGAAGCTGGAAACAGAACAAGCCTCTATGAAAGAGCAATTATTACAAGCCCAAATGAATAAGGCTAATATGGTCCTACGCTTCCAGGGTGTGCCAGAAAAACCAGGTGAGAATCTTAAAGAACTGATGTATGAATTACTGGCCCCAGAGGCAGATATGAAGGAGGAACATTTAAAAAACGAGATGGATGTGGTCTTTAGATCATATTCAGGTTATATAAAGAAAAATAATCTGCCTGGGGTAATTGTGGTAAGATTTTCGAAGAGGCACATAAGGGATGCAGTCCTAAAAGCAGTTTCTGGAAAACCCCTGAAAGTGGGGAATAATGCGGTCAGAATGCTAAAGGACATTCTATTTGAGGTGAGACAGCGGAGGAAGAAATATAAAGAATTAGTGACTTTTCGTCAGACTAATTTAATTGGATACAAATGGCTATTTCCTGAAGGAGTAACTTTTAAGATAAAGGATAAAAGGAGAAGATTGACTCTGTGTTTAAAGCTAAAGAGTTCCTGAGGGTTCAGCTGGGAAAAGCAGAGGAAGACGACGGAAAATCGAATGGAGAAGAAGATTCAGAATCTTCCAGAGAGGACTCTTTGACTGAGCAGGGAGCAGCAGCTCCAAGAAGTCCTTATAAACTGAGAAAGGGGGAAAGGAAGTAAAGGCTGAAGGACTCTGAATTGTGCCTTGAATTCAACAATATGTTAGAGATAAATGGGGGGTGGTTTACAGGCACTTAAAAATTTAAATGTAAAATTGGCAGACAGAAAAATGAGTATGTTTGACTCAGTTTATAGAAATGAAACTGAAGTAATGACTTATTGTAACTAAGCTTGTTGGAGATCTCCTTTCTTGGGTTTTTAGACAGTAGTGGGGTTTTTTACTTTGTCCCTGTATGTGTAGTTCCCTATATCCTTTTTTCTTTGTAGTATTTGTAGAAGATATAAAAATAATTAAAAAATCCCCTCTGGGGGAATAAAAAAAAAGGAAACCACTAAGGAAGCAGACAGCAAGAAAATCCTGCTAAACCAATATGCTGAGTGAAAGAGAAATTCCATCCTGATTTTTCAACTCTTTGCAACAAACAAACAAAAACTGAATTGCAGCACAGAGGAACCCAGGGCTAAGCAAAGCCTGCTGGTCCCTGACTAAGTAAGCTAGCTAAGCAATTCCCCCATCATGCCCAGCAGTAAAGCTATTGCAAGTACACCTTCTGTGTCCAAAATCACAGCACCCACAAAGGGAACATGTGCTCGTCCTACACTTATATAGATCTGAGTCCCATTGTGATGAATGGGAACTCTGTTATTGGCAAGCAGCAGTGCCTGTCAAGCTTTGGAGGATCCCTGTTTGTGTTTCCAAGGCTGGAAGACACCACCCCCACTGTTGTCTAGCATTTTCGCGCCAGATTTCTGGGTGGGCTTCATTTTCCGAACCACCATGAGCCATGCCCAAAAGCTTGGAGATTTCTTTGTAGACAATGTGTGTGCCAAACGTTCCCTCCCAAGCTGAGATCCAGCCAGAATTCGGCACAAGTTTTGACTTGTCATGCAGTTTGTGCCCTTCCCTATACACAGCACCAAAATGAGGGAAGGGGACCAACAATAGTTATTGGGTGTATGCCAAACAAAACAGTAAAAGGCTTTACCCACGGGCAGAAGACTATGGGCTTTTCGGCATTCTCATTTTCCTTGCTTGTAAGTTCCTGTTTCTTTGGGGGGCGATTTCTGTTCCACGTGTATTTTGCTCCCTCTAGTGGTCAGTTCAGTATTACACTGGTTTATGTATGGCATAAAACTCTGCAGTTTAAATCTGCAGGGAGATATGCTGAACATAAACTGGTGCAATATTGAACTGACCATTAGAGGGAGCAAAACACATGTGGAACAGACACATCCTCCCCGAAGAAACAGGAACTTACAAGCAAGGAAAATGAGAATGCCAAAATGAATGCAAAGATAGGTTCGTTTGAAGATGGAGACTGGGGAAATGGGAGAGGAGGTATGTGAACCTTAAGTTTACACATTTTATGTGGGAGTAAATTGCCAGCTTTGAGTTCATGTTGACTGTGATGTGATCGTTTCGGGGAAACAAAGACAGGACAAGACTTTCAGTGAAGATTTGCAGATTTGAAGTTAGTGGGCTTAGAATGGTTTTATTTTCCTTTGGATGGCCTTCTGTTGATGGGGGACTGTCTTGGGGGCTGACCTTGCTACAAAAAAGCGAGCATTTTTCAGAATTATAAGCTTCTGTTGACCTAAAGGACAGAACATTATTTTGCTTTCATGGGGAATATGCCACTATGTTCTCTCCTTTCTACGCTTATCCCTGTACATAGGAGTTTTGGGAAAGGAGATCATATAGGAGTTTGCTAAGGGTGGGCAATTCTATATGACTGTACAGTCGTCACTCAAATCAGCTATTGGTGTAACAACATTTTTTTCTCAGATAAATTTGTTTTTCGATATATATTTACTTCCATTCCAATAGAAACTTCATTTGTGATTAGGCCCTAAAAGGCTATCCCCCCCCCCCCCGGAAGCATTCTGGCTTAAAGCAAAGCACAGTTTATTGCAACACTTTAATGGTAGAAATTCTACATTGAAACACTAGTAATGGATTGTT